GATTAAAGAGCCGCACGTGGTGGATTAAAGAGCCGCACGTGGTGGACTGAAGAGCCGCACGTGGTGGATTAAAGAGCTGCACGTGGCTCGGGAGACGCCGGTTGGCCTCCGCTGCCTTAACACACAGAGGGCCGCAGAGTTTGAGGGTTTTTGGCACCGGCTCACTCGCTGCTTGCCTGCGACTCCTCCTGCCTGGTCCGAGTCATTCTCTGACACTGAGGGTGTCGCAATTGTTGCCGTGATGCCACATTTCCCTGCATTTAGACATCCTCTGTTGGTTGTTTGTTCACGCCGATGTCAATGTTCCCATAATACTGTACACTGCAAAACATAATTTTTACGTGAGCGCTCAGTTGTCACCGCCTCGTCTAAAAGGCCGTGGCTATCTGTTCAAGTGCGAGGAGATGCTTGGCGGCTCGGGATGGCGTTGTTAGTCTGGCTAGTTTTCACGTAGCTTTGGTGGAGTGGCTATCATACAACAACGGTGACAAGTGACATGCTTACGGTCCTGGGCCCCCCATTCTTTCAACTACTTTTTATTTTATTTTACCAGATAAGGCCCACTGAGCTGTAAAGCTCTTTTTTCAGAAGCGACATGGCCACAATTGATAGCTCACCGAAGTGGCTCATCACGTTGACATTCATCGCAGCCAAATACTCTAAGCGCGTGATGTTGGTTCTAAATGTGGAGGGGAAAACCGGAGAACCCCGAGAAAAATGCACGAAACCACGGGGGAGAGAGACACACAAACTCCCAAATATACAGCAGCAGGTGTCAGGGTTGGGTTTGAACCCACGACCTCCTGCATACCAGGCGAGGTAGTTAACATCTCATAGCCACTGCGCTGCCAACCAACCCGCACAAACCAGCGTGGTGAAGGACGATCACACAAACCCGCATGATGGACATGGCATGATGGACATGGCATGATGGACATGGCACGATGGACATGGCACGATGGACATGGCATGATGGGCATGGCACGATGGGCATGGCATGATGGGCAAGGCATGATGGACATGGCATGATGGACATGGCATGATGGACATGGCATGATGGGCATGGCATGATGGGCATGGCATGATGGACATGGCATGATGGATATGGCATGATGGACATGGCATGATGGACATGGCATGATGGACATAGCATGATGGACATGGCATGATGGATATGGCATGATGGACATGGCATGATGGACATGGCATGATGGACATAGCATGATGGACATGGCACGATGGACATGGCATGATGGGCATGGCACGATGGGCATGGCATGATGGGCAAGGCATGATGAGCATGGCATGATGGGCATGGCATGATGGACATGGCATGATGGACATGGCATGATAGACATGGCATGATGGACATGGAATTAGGAGGGGGTTTAACAAGAGGGCTGTACAAGTCCATGAGTGATTTGACCAGCGCACTGGCCTCCATCTTAATTGTCGAAAGTCACCAGCGGTTCTTCTCTTACGGATAGTACGTATGTTGAACTTATTTCGCACCGTACGTAGCCAACCGTGCTAGTCGGAGGTGTGGAGAGAAGGGAAAACAAACTAAACGCAAAAATCAGTTCCAAAGAAATGAGTTTTTAATCTAGATTTAAACAGTACATAGCTCCATTGGCTTCTGAATATCGGAAGGAAGAGCGTTCCAGACGGCCGCAAAAGCGCATCTGAAAGCACGCGATTCGGTGACCGTCTTTATTCGATGGCTAGCCAGAAGCCGCTGTGATGATGACCGGAGTTTGCGTGTAGATACTTTGTGCTCCTTGACGATAGGCACGTCCTCGGCATGGTTTTGTGGAGTTCACACTGCTGGCTCAAGGTCGCCAATGGCGATGAGTTTTGCACAAAGCTCCTTTGAGTGCGGAGATGATTTAATTTGTACGTTGCCTTTTAAATTGATCCGCAAACAAGGACGCACGCACAGATTAAATTATTTGCAGCAAATTAATGTGTGGGAGGAAACCGGAGTACCTGCGGAATAACCACTCGAGCGAGGGAGCAACCATCTACCCCATACATATGGGATAGATGGAGATTAGTCCGCACTTGCTGTGCCGAATTCTCCTGGCGATCCAGGGTAGGGCCCCTCCTCGACGCCCACCCACGGTAAGGGAGACTTGCAACATTTAGTACGGTCCACTCCACTGTGCTGGACCACAGGCGCACGTAGCCACCACTGCCGGCCACGGCGTGTAGTGCAACCACGCACGCGGTGTGTCACGAGCGTGGGACCGACGCAGCTTGAGTGGCTTCATGGTACGAGCCCACAGTGAACCTCCACACGTCCGCAGGGAACACATTCTCCTCCGAGAGCACCACCGGCTGTCAGCCAACGAAGCACTCCCGCTGACAAAGGACCTCAAAACCCCCCGATGCACACATGAAATCCCGCTTCCCCTACTGGAATACACTCCAAACCCTACAAACTGATGACAGCCCTGCCTCTTGATGGCGCACCTCCTGGTTGACTGCAAACGTCACCAATGTTGCAACCTGGTAACTGACTTCCGAGCAGTGAAGTGGCAGGGTTCAACCTGCCACATTAAACTTGGGCAATTGCTCCACAAGTGGACCGTGAGGAGCCCAAATTGTGACCATGGCCACCCTAGTCAGACGATCGCCCGCGTACCAAACTCCTGCCGTGAGAGATCCATTCCCGGTGGCACCGCAACCACTCACTGAAGTGGGATGAATATACAAGCGAAGGACGTTTCTGTGTCCACCTCAGTTGACGGTCGAAATTCCAAGTAGAACTGCAAGCCAGCCAGAGTTATCCAGGGCTGAGCTCTGGAACATATCCCATGAAAAAATGAAGCCCTGGCTGTAACAGTCTGTACCCTGGGCCCGATCGACACGTGTGGATAAAGAGGGAAACACTTAAGAAGCGGTGACGGATTTTGAGGTTAGCATTAGTCCTAATGGCACAGCTGTCCATACTATAACAGCAGGTTGACTGGTGTATGGTAGAACGGTTAGGACCTGCATCAAAAGTGACCTTAAAGCTTTTTGCTGTGGTCGGGGAAAAGCTAGGAGGCAGCCACAATCATTCGAGGCAAATGCTTTAAATGCGTCAGATTCTCCTCGCGGTACGATCCTGCCCCGATGAGAATTGCTTGAATCGCTTAAATTCATAAATAAATACAAGGCGTTGTTTTTTTTTATCATTATTATTATCTGGGTTTGGAGCGGATTGAGGCATAGGAGCCTCTCTTTTGCAAAGGAAACTGGAAAAAAAAATCTGCGGTGCTTGGTGGCAAAAACAACGGGCTGTCTGAATCGGGAAAAAAATACAATTTGGCACCGGGGAATCAAATAAACAAAATAAATAAAACAACAATAATTGGAAAGCTGAAAGAGGAAAGAAACCACGCATCAACAATGCTTAGCGTAAAGACAAATAAACAATTCTGCAATTGGGGAATACTGTATTGACAAGCAAACAAACAGCACATTAATAATTCTAAGTTTAAAATCTCAACTGCACTGGGAATTAGTTCTTTTGACAATTTGTTGTTTTAAAATATGTTTTCCAAGCAAGAAAAACAAGTTTTAGTGATTTTTTTAACGATCATATATGGTTAGGTCACATGACACCGTGGTGAGAGCGCTCGACTCGCAGGTGGAAGGTTACGAGTTCAAACCCCTGGTTTGGTTGGTCAACTCACCACATCATATCTGTGGGAATATTGTTGTCTTGAAGAATAGACTACCCCTGTTATAAGGAATGTGGAATTTCATTCTCTGCGCTCGAAGTCACCGATAGAGACGAACGTTGAACGTGACATCTCCCCGTTTTGATGTTTTGGTTTGAGATTCACGCGGGCAGCTGTCAAAGGTCAATTGCATACAACTGTTGAGAACGTTGAGTTGTACCTCAATACGGAGCATGAACATCGCTTTCATCGTTCACGTATATCGTTAATGTTCATTGTAAAGCAAAAATGTCACCTTAGCTTCTGCTTCGTTTAAAGTGGCATTGTTTGTATGTCTGTATGTTGAACGTCTTTCACACTGCGCATGGCCAACCGTGCTAATCGGAGGTTTCGGGGGGGGGGGGGGGGGGGGGGGGGGGGGGGGGGGGGGGGGGGGGGGGGGGGGGGGGGGGGGGGAAGGACAACAAACTAAACACATTTAGATCTTGACTTAAAGCTTTTGTGACTGCAGGAATTCATATTCTTTGGGTCTTTCGGTAAGGTCACGTAGATAGAAAAATATTTTAGTTTTATCGTTCTATCTGCGTGACTTTACCGAAAGACGGAAAGAATACATTTAGATATTCTTCAGTGCCTCTCGTGTTATGTATGTTGGACTTAAACGCCGCGTTTCTTTCACTGTGGGTTTCTCGCAGGGTTGTTATTAACCTTGGGCCTCGCCTGAACCTACATTCCTGAAGCATTTGGAAAGTAAACGAATCGTGGTTTCTAATCATTCCCAGAGAACACGCGCAATTTAATGGCTGTCGGGCTTTTAAAGATCATTGTTTTATCAGCAGCTCCTCGTTCTCGGCCACTTCAGAGAAACAAGCGCGAAACAATGTTGCTCTGCCTCAGTGGATTGTGAGTAATAAATAAATTAACGGCAATGAAATCAAACGCATGAAACAGAAAAGCCATCTGCTTTTGACACCGTAAAAGACGATATTTAATCCTTTGACCGTGGGGATTTGGAGAGCTGTGGTGTTTTATTTGTTTGTTCCACCAGTAGCGTTTGCCTCTACAGCGTATACCGGGCTTAACTTCACTGATGCTCATCAGTTTGTGTGCGGCCTCTCAGCCAATTGCCACTTGTTGGCCGCGTGTTATTGGCAAGGGCCATCAACAAACACAAGAGGGTGTCTGAAACGGAGGGCTTTAAAACAAAGCGTAAATTAAAGTGTTGCGCGCAAATAAAGCATCGCATTCGATGGATGCAGAAAAAAAATCACTTTTAATCTTTTGGAGACAATTTCGTTCTTTCAGTTTGTTGAATTTTGTTTATCCTTCCAGCGACTCCATCGGCAACAACTACAGCCCGACTGCCCGCGACCTCTCCACGCATGGCATCTACAAGCTGCTGAATACACCAGGTGAGTGAGAGAGCATCTGCAAGAACCGCCAGAGTCGATGCATTTTTACCATTCGCTCTCAGTAGTTCCGTTCACATGACCACCGATCACTGTCATGGAGATCTGTTAAAACCACCCCAAGGGATCTTCTTTTTAAATCGAGATCTGACGTCTGTTAAAGCGGCTGACAGTCGCTTTAAAAAGGGTCTACTGAAGCCTAATGCCACTCATAGTGCTCTATAAAGGGTTACTTAGGCACCCTACATTGCATAATATTATGCATTGCGTTTTGCTATTTATATGATGATAACTCTGAGCCCAAGCCCAAGGTTTTCAGCAAATTAAATACAGTAATTCAACAGCTTGCTACACAGGTCACTGTTTATCGACCTTTATGCACGCGAGCGAAGATCGGTTAAATACACAGAGAATGTAGCTGCGCCAGGGAGACTTGCACACACGCGCACGCACGTGCCTCCGTACGGCCCCGCCATGCCCCTAATTGCATGTGGATTTAGTGCGCGCGGCAATGCGCCGCGCACCTCACCATTAATTAATCGGCAAGCGACCTGGCCGAGGCCGGGCCGCAAATGGACGACGAGGGCTTCGGCAGAGAGCGGCTCCTTCGCCAGAGTGCCCTCGCGGTGATTGACGACCGAGATCTCGAGCCATCGAGCGGCCGCTTATATTTACGGCGGGCCGGCCGGGATGCGAGAGAGCTCCCTAGCTCGCTCGTTCGCTCGCTCGCTCCCTCGCCCGCCCGCCCGCCCGCCCGCCCGTCTGCGTGCCACTGCCGCTCCGCTCGCGTCGCCGAAGCGAGCGAGGCGTGAAGCCGCACCATTTCAGGCTGCTCTGGCAGCTCGGCGGCGGCGGCGGCAGCGGCGCGAGCGAGCGAGCGAGCTGTTGGCGCGTTCTCAATTTTGCGTTCGGTTCGGCCGGTGACCCCGCGCCGTGTTTGTGCGGCGTGCGACCGCGTAGAGCCGGCGGCGCTGAGGAGGAGCGGGGAGCCGGGCGAGCGCTCGCGCCTGCCGCTCCGTGGCAGGGCGCCGGGCGGCGCGGGTCTGTCCGAGCGAGCACGCGGAACCGGCCGGCGATCCGGGGCCCTCCCGAGGTACGGTCTCCTTTCTCACGGCCGCACGCCAGCGGCGGCTCTTCGTGGCGAGGCGGTGTTCGTTCGTGTAAATGCTCCTTCGTGGGTCAGAGAGCTCGACCTTGACGAGCAAACATAGGAGGCGTTTGTTAGGGGCCCAGAAGCTCTGTAGGTGCACGCGGAGGATGCTGAAAATGTCGCGGTGAGATGCGGTTCGGAATTAAATGGGGGTAGCGTTAAGTGCACGGCGCAATCGGGAATAGGAGTTTGCAGTGAGTGAGGTTTGTTTGCATGTTAGAGGGGGGCAGCTCGTGCAGTGAGGCATTGGAGTGCCATCAAGAGGTTGGAAACCAAGTGGACGACCTCCAGCAAAGGTGATTGGATACCGTGCGAGAAAGACTCTGACGGTTGCGTGTCGACTTCAACAGCGGCAGGATCTAGCAAAAAGAAGAGTGACGGTGATGGTGGTGGTGGTGTTGTCATCAGCATTGGCTATGATGACTTCATCACTGTGATGATAACTTTTGAGTGATTGATGCCATTGCTTTTACCCGGTGAGAGGTAATTTGCATTAATTGCTCATGTTCCCTGACTTGTTATAAACCTGTGGAAAGTTACCATATTGGCATTGAATAGTGGTACATTTATGCCAAATATCTCTCGCATTTGTTTTGTTCCTTATATTAAACAGGCCCTTTGTCACCTTCGGACGATAGTGGCTATGCACGTGGCCTGCAGTCCAGCACTGTGGAGGTAGCAAGGGTTGGTGGATCACACGCAGATGTTGTGAAACTCCCTTCCCTTGGGCATCAAAGACGAGCCATGCCCCTGGCTTGGCCAGGAGAATGCGGTGCAGAAAACGTTGACTCCGCCTGTTCGGTCTGTGCGGGACGGAGTGTTACCCCCTTCCTACGTTGTCGGTTGCCTCTCAGTGCCCCAGTTTCGTCCCACGTGCATGAACACTCATTCAAATTGTCTGAAAACATCTAAATGTAACACAGGGCCCCCAGAACTTGGGAAATTGCTGGCGCCGGCTCACCGCGTGGCTGCCTTACCGCTCGTCTGCGGTTCCTCCTCTCGCCTCTTCGTTGTTCTCTGTCCTTGAGAGGGAGCGAATGCTGTGCGTGTTACGAGCTGAAATTACTCTCGTAATAATACGAGAATAACAATCTGAGTACGACGTTTCGCTAGTAATTACAACTAGCTTCATCTGCCGAAACGTCGTACTCGGATTGTAAATGTTGTGGATTTACTCTCCAACACACCGGTGTGCTGTACTAGTAACTAATTGGTATGTTCTGTTTTACGTGACGAACCTTGCTAATTGGCTGTGTCGGGTGGTGGCCGGTTTACCGGCACATTTATATTTACGCCATCTAACACAAATAACGATATTATGTATGATATTGGTCGCGAAAGCCTACGTGTTAAGCTTGAGCTCTTTTGTTGGGCAATTTTTGGGTGGATTTGGGATTGGGGCTACGACACCAAAACAACGTGGCCTATATTTGCTAACGATGATGCGTCAAGCCTCTGGCGGTCTCTTTTGCGGAAGGCGACGCAATTGGTAACTCGTCGGTGAGCAAGCTGATCACTAGCCCCGCCGAGTACACTTCAACTGCAGCCGCATCGAGAGCACGGACAACTCAGAGTCAGAGGAACTGTATGGTCGAATGGGAAATGTGTGATGCTGACCTCCATCAGTGACCCTGTACCACGAGTGAACATTTCCCATTTGGACAGAAGTGACTAGTCTCTCTATCGGACAACCACTGTGGAATTCCTGCAAAGTGGTATTCGTTTTATGATAGGATGAGTCAACCCTCGACCGGGATTGAAATTCACAACCTTCTGATCCTGAGTCAAGCACTCAAAGCATGGCTAAGTGTTCCGACAAGGGGCTATCATCACTCAAGCCACGAAATGATTTTGCTCCAAATATTGGCCTCTGTTTGAAATTGGCCATGCAGAGTGTGCAAGACCTTCTTGCCATAGCCACCGTTTGATAACCGGTGCCTGATCGGTCATCTACAACTAAAATGGCACAATCTGCAGTGAATGTTGATGTACTGCACAGCGAGAGATAATTCTGTGAGAAATGGCACCCCCTGTGATTTGTTGTATTCTCACAAATGTGAACTGCCTGCTTTTTTGTTTTGTTTTCTGCTTTATAACCTCCAAGGTTGATTTCCTTATCTGTAACATGGGGTCAAGATCACGTAATTAAAAGCGATCCGAGATGAAGACAACTTTAGCGTAAAGTTGTGCTGCTACTATTAGGCTCTAGCCCGATTGAAAGTCTGGTCTAATTGGTCAGCGTTGTCCCCAAAATTGGAGACCCAAACCGGAGCCAAAAAGGACAATTTCCAAATCTGAAATCATGTCGCCTTGACAGCTACTTGTCGGCGTCTGTACTACAAGTTAAATGTTTCATAGCATTACACAATCTGTACATATGCACGCTTTTTTCTCCCTCAATTTTCCTTTAAATAATGGCTGTTGGTTCAGCGCATCATGCTTACGTAAGCACCTTGTGGGCAATGCACAGTTATTCTGCTTTTGAGAGACTGGCCTCCGTCATAGGAATGTGGAATTTTAACCACTGGCAAACCTGACACCAGTGGGAATGAACGCCACCCAATGTTACTTTGAGGTGGAAGACGCGTTGACGTTTTTGCAAGTTTTTTTTTTAGTTTTTAAAACAAGCTAGGAGCAGGTGGCACGTAGCTTGCAATGCAGAACACACACACACTGTCACGTGGAAATGACAAGGCGGGGAGAATTTTTGGAAATTCGCGCACAGTCTCACATTCTCCAGATGGTCCAAAAAACACAAGTTGCCGTGAACTCACTTTTTTATTAAGTTTGATTAACCGAAGGAGAACTCCTGCCAGAGCTGAGCTAAATGGAGGTGGCTTGTGGCACCTGGCCGTCTGTTTTCTCAGCTGTGCCCCGTGCACACACACACACATGCACACTCCACGACTCGCGGGGCACACACGTGTACACACACAGTAGCATATTTAGTAGCCAGGTAATGATTTACCCTTCTCCTGCGAGTCAATAAATTGTCGACAATCATCAAGCGTGATTTTTCCTTGAGGTGGAACAGTGACGCGCTGGTTGTGAACCAGAACGCCTGGGTTTGATCCCTGGCTCCGGCTCACGTTGGTGGCGAGTGATACTTGGACCAGTCCTGGTCTCCCTTGAATTCACCAACTTGCATCTAACCAGCATGGTGAAGTGTGTTCAAACAAATCTCATGACCGTACGGTATGGACAGGCGTTCATCCGGCGGTGTATTGACAAGGGACTGTAAATTATTTATTTTGAAATTATTCTTTCAATTGTGTGTTATTAACGATTCTGTCTTATTTATCTTTTTCTCTTCAATATCGTCTGTCTTGTGTGCTTTGTGGCATTCATTCCATGAGTGCAATGGCATCATGTGCATAAAAAATTCGAGTAAGATTATCCCAATCTGTAAGTCGTAAATTATCTCTCTCTCTCTCACACACACACACACACACCATGTCACGCATGTGCCTTGAGTTGTAATAATCCATTTCAACTGCTGAATTGCTTCACACGTTTGTTTTTTTTCCTGCACGTTCTGTTTACCCGACAACCCTTACGAGTTGGCTGTGTCGGGTGGTGGCGGGTTTTAACGACGCAATTATATATTTACGCGATGTAACCCAAAAAAAAATCTCTATTATGGAAGTTGATGAGTGTCACCATTTGCCGAGGCAATTACGAATTCTGAAATAAAGCCGAGGCGCTTGCTTCATTGGAGTGATTTGTTTCACTCACGTGGCTTTTATTATTTCTTGCTCGAGCCATCTCAATAAAAGCCTGTTTCTCTCATTCATTATTGTTAATTGAAAACTAAAGTAGCATTTAATTATTTTACTTTGTGCTGCGTATATAATTACATATGTATAATTACACATGCAGCGCTGTATGTAATGGCACGCTAATGCGAGGCTATGAATTAAAAAAAAAAACTATAGGAAACATCACGGCTCGTTCTGACAAACAGTAGGGTTGCCCGACGCTATTCATATTCATTAAGGTATTATTTTTTTTTATTCCTCCAAGCGGAAAGAATTTGGCGAGAGTTATAACTATTTTGCTTCGTATATTTGCCCGTCCCATGTTGGGAAATGACCTTTTTTGAAATGGTGTCACTTCGGTTTGGCTTTGTTGTATTCGTTTAGGGCCACAGACACACACTTTACAAATGTTATCTAAATTACATGCTGTGCTATCAGCAAAAATGGCATATAGAAAGCCCTAAATTGTCCACGTTTTAGTTCTGATATTCTGCTATTTGCAATAATTGCTTTGGACTGTTTACATTACACCCCATAACAGGGTGTAATTTTACTCACAAGCTGACACTTAACTCTCAATTTTCACACTGGGAATTGCAGTTAAACTATAAACTCGTTTTTATTTAACCAGGTAAGGCGACCTGGCCACAAATGATAGCTCAAAGTGACTCATCATGTGGAAATGTATAGCAGCCAAATAATCGAAATGCCTGTTTCTAAATGTGGATAGAAAACCCGGGGATCCGGAGATGATTCCACGTGACCACGGGGAGAGAGAAACTCAAACTCCAAATATACAAGCATGAGTGTCAGGATCGAACCCACGAGCCCCTGCATACCGGGCGAGGTAGTTCACATCTCGCCAGCCCATCATCCTTTCAGGGACAATAAAATGAGCAACACTCTGTGGAACGTATACAGTGCCTGTTCTAGGCATACATATAAAGACAACACATTCGTCGAGAAGACTTTCCTTCGAAAGAAAATGTACATAATCGTAGACATTTCAGGCCATGGTCTTTCTCACTTTGCTTCACATGACTCTCATTATTGTTTGTTAAGGCAGTGTTACTGACGATCGTGTTGAGTTTTGGGTGTTGTTTGTGCCTCCGCACCACTGCCAACACAGCAGCATCACCATATGTTTTTTTTCTTGGCATTGAGCTATCATTGATTTAAATGTTT